ACATCGTAAACATGACTAAATCAGAATTGTTTTAGTAGGGTGGTTGTCAGGACTTGACCTAACCAAAAACATTTGAATGCTACTCAAATGTAGCATTCTACATTAGTTTAGCAGTTTGGTTTCCCAGTGTGGGCTGAACTGTGGTAAATAATGTTGGAATATTTAGAAGCCCAGGTTTGAAAAAGATTCCTAGTTGTTGTGTTTGAACTAATTTTAGTATTTAATTATGCCATCAGGCCTAAATCTTATTAAGACTCATTTTAACAAAGATTTCTACCACCTTTAAGTACCTTATAATGTGTTTACTGTATGTCACAGAATAAAACATTTAAGAGGAATCAAACATTTGCAAACATGAAGTACTGGATTAGTGGAGTTGAAATTAAAGGTTCTTGAAACAGGCTGATTCCAGTTTTTCACAATTTGTTATGGTTGTTGTAGATTGCAGGGAGCTTAACCAGGACAACTGCCTGATTGTTTTCCACTTCACGCTACAATAAACAAACATTTACAGACTTGGGCTACCAATCTTTCATTAATTCTTGAGAAAGTGCATAACCCCAGTCATCTCTGAACTAAATGTGGTTGTTGTTGAGCCTTTTTGTGCAGAGCTGTTTTTTAATGTGAGGTTGTAAGGTTCTGTTTTGTGTCTCTTGCCAGCTGATGTAGAACAGGGTGTTTAGACAGAAAAGGGGGTTATGGGGTCTTTTGCACTTACATCTCTGTTCGTTCAGGGCTGATGTATGAAGTGTGAGAGTGGTAAATCAAATGTGCTTGGAGTAAGACTCCCAAGAATCAGTTAGGAACTCCTGCTATTTTATTAAACTGATTAATGCACAAGGATGTGGTTTCCTTTGCTTTATTTTACCTTGCACCTGCACTTCCTGTTTACAGTCTTATTTGTTTTTCTTTTTTGACGTTGGTTCATATTCTTGTTTATCCTGGCTTAACAAGTACTCTCTGCAGTATGTTTGCTCTATCCTTTGTTAGTTTCCATTTTAATTTGCAGGAATGCTGAATTTAAACCCCAGCTAGGGTTAGGGTTATAATTCTCACAGCACTTAGAAATTTTGTTTAACCGCTTTATTTTCAGTCCCAAATGAACGTTAGGAAGAGTTGTACTTTTCTCCCTACTTCAACTTTATTTTCTAGTACATTTGGCTGCTAACTGTATATTGCAAAATTTAATAATTGTGCTAAAAAACTAAGTGAAATTAAAAGTGTGAAGAAAATCCATGTAATTGGGTGAAATCTGAAAATGTTGTCATTTCTAGTGGAAATAGAGTCAACATTTAGGTGGTTCTTGTAAACCGAGCCCTGGTGTGGCCTGAAACACATGATAATTTAAATTCCATTTTAATAGTGATCATCAGTGGTTTGAAAAAGTGCCTAAAAAGATACAATGATGAAGACGATCAATTTAAGCAAGTTTTCATCCATGGATTTGATTGGTTCAGGTTTATATTTTGTCGAGTGAGGAACATTTTCCAATCTGATGCATGGCATCCAAAATGCCATTTTATTAGTGATTGTCAACAGTTTGAAAAGTTCCCTAAATAAGATACAGTGTTGAAGAAGATCAGTTTACAAGAGTTTTAATTAATGGATTTGATTTTGCCATATATTTTGTGACATGAGGAACATTTTCAGATCTGATGAATGGTAGGCTTCAGAAACAAATTGCAGAATAGCTCAGTTTATTCTCCAGCTAGGGCAAGGGTTAGCATCCTCACAGTCCTTAGATATTTTTTAACCTCATGGCTGTATTAAGCAACCCAAGTAAACTTAAGGAAGAGTGAAACTGCTCTCCCAACTTTTTTTTCCCATTTTGCTGCCTTCAATATATTGCAAAGTACTTGTGCTCAAAAACTGAGTAAAATTAAAAGTGTGAAGAAGACCCATTCCATTGGGTAAAAGTGGAAATAGAAGAATAAATGGATTAAAAATTGAATGGTTCTTGTAACCCTAACCTTAGTCTGGTCTGAAATATGGTATGTCAGGCAGGTTTGATGGGAACTCTCTTGCATTACCTTCTGGAACATACCAATGCTGTTGTTTTAGGACTCACATGAAGCTGCCACACACCTTCAGATTATTTCAGTAAAATACAAACAATGTCCTCATGCTGATATTCAAGAAAATTATTTATTTTCCTTCTAGTTTCCTGCTAATGATAAAAAAGACATTTGTGAAAGACCCTGAAATTCATTCTGAAATTCATTCATTCATTATGACAACTGCAGTATTTTTTCAGGCCATTAGATATATTGTTTTGTTTTAGGTGATTAAGTGGTTTCGGGTTTAAAGGTCTTTAGAGTTTGAAAATAACACTTAAAAGGTATTTAAAGAGTTGTTTTTTTTATTCTGTTCTTTTGATGGCTTACAGATGTATACGGCGTAGGAATTTTAAGTTGATTTTGACAGGGTTATGTATACATAATGTTTCCCTATTTGGTTTTCTTGTTATCTTGAAAGTGATAAGTTATCAGACTAATTCTTATTAGGCACTGTGTTTTGAATTGCACAGCTAGACATTGATTCATTTATTGCTCAGAGACAGCCCTGCAGAGATGGGATTTGTACAAGTCTGTCTGTGACACATCTGGAGAACCTACTGTAGCTCCTTCACGTTTCATGCACAGTAGATTCCTGTGTGCAGCACTAATGTCACAAATAACTTTTATCCTTACACAAAAGAGATGCAGTTACCTTCTGGTAGATTTGCCATTATGTATGTGTCTTCAATACCGAAAGTCCCGTACAAAGGTGTGATGGTGTCTGATATAGTTAAAAGCTTGAATTTGTGAAGAGGTGAAAATTTCAGAGCTCTGTGTCAACCACACTCTGCAGGTGTCATCACAGTAGTACAAACAACACTCTGAAATCACCACGTCTTGGTGACCACAAAACCCCTTTTGTTACAAACTGTGGCTGAGCTTCTTAAAAAAAAAAGGCAAAGCTAAAAAAACTGAGGCTATGTCTCATGTCAGATCATGCTTTGTTGGAAAATGATGTACTGTACTGTAAGGTCATGAAGTATGCGATGGAGGAAAAACGTTGCCTTTTCTCATCATGAAGTTCTCCTTCTGCAGGTCTGTGTGTAATGAACACACACTGATCTTGTCTGGTCTTCGCTGTGCCTCCCCCTTCTCTGTCCTTATTCTCATGTCTTGCCTGTGAGAAAGATAACAGGCCGGTTTGCCGGCTGGGACCTGTGTGCATCCTAGAGAAAGAAGAAGAGGAGGAACAACAGTGTAAGAACACAAGAAAAGCTACAAACCAGCAGAGGCCTTTCAGCCCACTTAACGTGATTGGTACTTAGCAAGCTTTCTTCTTCACATTTACTCTTCTGCTGATGTCATCTCACCCATTTGGCTCTGGCATTGTTTCCTCAACTCTCTTCAACTCTCAGGAGACCACAATTTCCAAGCACACGCGTTTCGGCCTATCTGCTGCTTACAAGCCTGTTTTGACTGTACATTTTCCTTACTCTTTAAAATGCTGTTCAAGCCGGTTTGTTTTCTTATATTAAGCAGGTAAGATTGTGATTGTGGTTTAGTTAACGGTGTTTTAAAATCATACACTGACACAATCTAATCATTTTTATATGTCATCAGTGGGCGTTCGACTGTTTCTGCCCCTCGGCGTTGTTAATGTGAAGGTTCTGGCGCCTGCTAAATTTCATCATTGCTTTTCTCATCGCAGAGTCAGTGCCGTAATCCCATTCATTTCTGCCTCAATTTGACAGTGATTTTGATTTATTCCGCCATAGAGTACTCAGTAGTCCAGAATTGTACAAATTATAGTTGGTTTTCTGAATGTCAGGCTTTTATGGATCAGGAATTCTCATTTCCCCCTTTTCTGCATTTAAATGGTACTTTAACTTTAAGTGTTGTCAAGTGATTTCCTGAAAGGAATTCAGATTGAATTGAATAGGAAGCAGTGTAGTGCTCGGAAACAAAACAAAAAAATCTTTGCGGAAAAAACATGTTCAAAAAGAAAAACACATCAGCAGAGCTGTTCAAAAGGAAATCAGATACATCCTGATTGCTTACTTTCCTTCTGACTGTCCTTTCACAAGTTTTTAATTCTTAATTTCTAAAATGAATAGTCTCTTCCAATGGCTCATTAGTAGTATTCAAAGCCTATACAGTTGAAGGATTAAGTGACTGTCAGTGAAACCTGTAAGTGTTAGCTGCTTGTTTGATAGCAGAGTGGGAAAGAAGGCTTTAGAGGCAGAGATCTTCAAGGTGGTAACAAGAGAGATGAGTTGCTGGGCAGCACTGCCTGTTTAGACCAAGGTGCATTTTCACTCTTTGGATTAAGCTGCATTAGAGAGAATGGAATGAGTGACCTTTTGTTTAAGATATCAGTAATATTTCAACTTGAACTGTCCTCTGAATTTGAACAGTAAAGAACAGTATATGTTGCCTTGTTTACCTTTTTCATGTATACTAAATAAAGCATTGCTCCTTTTTCTGCGGATGAAAAAAACAATTGATTTCAAGTCCTTTCATTGTGGTTAGAATGTTTCTTGTTTTATATATAGATGTTTCTGTTAGCATTATGTGCTTTCATATTGTCAGCTGTGTTGTTGAAGCCATTTCCTGTTTATATATTGACCATTGCACAGATGCTCAGCAACACATTTTCAACTGTTAGATTGTGTTATACTCTTATGTAAAAAGAGTTTTCTTTGTCAGAAGCTGTCAACACCGTGACACATTTAGTATGATTATCAGCAGGCACAACTTGTCTTTTTCTTGATTCAGTCAGACACGTTTGTGTTCCTCTCCCATGTGTCTCCAGCCACACATGTTGCTGATGTCTCTAACCAGTCATGCTTAAACATATGCAGTGTGCACACTGAGCTGGGTTTGTTGATGGCAGTTCTAAGAAAGCTACAAAGACAGCTTTTATAAAACGCCTACTGTTTTGTAGCCTAAAAGACACTTTGTCTTTGCTTCCTCATTTGTGTTTTTCCTTTTTTTCCCCTCTAGGTCTGCTGGTTGGAACCTTGGATGTGGTCCTGGACTCTAGTGCTCGTGTTGCTCCCTACAGAATTCTCTACCAGACACCTGACTCCCTTGTGTATTGGACAATAGCCCATGGTACAGTAAATAAAATGCAGTCATTTTGTGTTCAATATGTTACATGTTTTTTTGTGTCTTTGCAGTCATATGGCAAGTAAAGAGCATGAACTGTAAAGCAGACAGTTTTAAAGTGTCTTGAACACACTTCTCTCAGTTTGAGGGCCATAAACATCACTCCTCACGCATCCCCTCCCCAGCCCCACTGTACTTTTAATCAGTTTCTTTTCCTTTTTCCCCATTGTAAATCTACAATTGCAACATTGTCGCACACTGGTACTGTTAAAAGGCATGCAAGGTAAATGCATTATTTGAATCCATTTTTTAAATCAGCAGTCGATTACATTACTTTAGCAGTGTAGTTCATTAAAGTTGGTACTCCTTGCTGTGTTACATTGATTCAGTCTTAGTTTCAGTGGCTGGAAATGAGGAAATGTAAGGAAATGCTCTGCTACTAGTCTAGGATGACTAGTAGCAGAGCATTTCCTGCAGGTTTGTGTGAATTGTGTGAATTGGGTTTGTGTGACCTGCACACAAACCTGCAGGTTTGTGTGAATCTGTGAGAGCTTTGTTTGCTTTTTTTCTCTCTATGAAGTGCCTAGTGCCGAGAAATAGCCTGTGAACCTTAGGTTGGTCTGTTTTGTCATATATCCATAGACCGTAATCGTAAAAAATTTTTTTTGATTTTCATGAAAATCATAGTAAAAGATGAACATAACTTAAGTAAACATATAACACAAAGACATAAGCCAATATTTAATTAAAATAAGCCAACAGTAAATGTCCTCGTGAAGATTGTTAACCCCTTAGATTCAGTAACTGGTGGTGCTCTTTGAGCAGGGATGACTGCAGCTACACGTTTCCTGTTTATCAGTCTCTTGCATTTGCGGTTAGGAATTGTGGCTCCTTCTTCCTTACAGAACTGCTTCAAGACAGTGACATTTCCTTGCCAGAAGAGCTCGCTTCAGCTCCTGCCATGACATTTCAGTGGGGTTAAGGTCTGAGCGTTGATGTAGCCAAGATGTAAAGTTTCTTCATCTTCATTTGTGCTGTTGTAGATCAGCTTGTGTGTTTAGTATCTTTGTCTTGCTGCATTACCCACCTAATGCTCAGCTCCAGCTGATGAAGGGGTGTCCTGACATTCTCCTCCAAAATTTCCTGATACTACACCAAAATTGTGGTTCTATCAATGATGGCAAGCCATTCAGTTCCTGAGGCAGCAGAGCAGCCCAAAACCCTGATACCCCCACCACCATGCTAGGCAGGGTCAGGGTTTTGGCACATACAATGTTTCTCATTGAGGCTCTTTGGTGAACTTGAGACAGATAGTAACATTCTTTTTAGAGAGCTACCCACCCATGAAAACTGATTCCTTTCATTCTTTTTCTAGTGTTTGAGGCATTTACACGGACATTAGCTGCAGTAAAAGGGGCCTGTACTGTAGATCTTTAGATGTTACTCTGGGGTTCTTTGTGAAATCTGGAATGTTTTTTCCAGCTTGCTTTTGGGGAGAACACCGAGGTCACAAAGATTCTGGCCATTGTATAGAACAGGGCTACACAAACTTAAGTTCTTATTTACTTGTTACCAAATTATTTAACCACCTGATTCTAATTACTCTCTTAATTGTCCTATGTCAAACAGGGGTTTATTTCTTATTTCCCATACACTGATTCTTAATTAATAATAACTTTCTACTTCCCTTTAAGTTGTAGAAGAGTTTTTTTAATTAACCAGCTTTGTGCGGAAGCGTTAGTGTTTTTAATAGGTTTTTAAACTGTTTAAAATTAAAGTAGTTATTTTTCCTTGATTGGATGAAGATAACTTCTTGACTGAATAGAAAATCAAGAAAATGAATGCTATCCAGTCAGTGATTTTTGACATGTTTTTTTACTCCAGCTGAAGCAATTTCTGATTAATAAAATTAATCATTTCTAATTTTCGTATTACACGTAGTACGGTAGCTGTCAAATTAAAATGTTCCATAACACTCCCATGTTTGTAAATGCTGTGTTATCTGACAGCTGATTAGTTTGAGACCTTAATGCAAGTGTATGACTGTGAAGTTTGTGAAAGTACCACCTTGTTAAACAGTGAAGGATTAGTCTTTTTTTCAGGAAGCATTATGGCACCTCAGAGTTCATCGTAGGACATCTTTCTGTCTTCCCACTTCACGTTTATAATAAAAGATGCAGATGTAAGTTAAAGTCTGCAATACTATGAGATTTTTTCTACAGATCTGGGTAGTGAATTGTTCTCCTTTTGGCCTGAAATGGAAGCCGAGGCAGTGCTCTTCTTGTTTGTTGAAATGGCAACCCTTTTCTCCAGTGGAGGGAGGGAGACTGCGCCTCTGAGCCGACTTTGCTAATGCAGCTAAACGAGTGTTAATTTGCTGGTGGGCTTGGAGCCAGAGATTAGGAAGTAGCACAGAAAGGTCACAGAGTGGATGGATTTTTGTTGAGCGGTGAGCTTTCTTAGGCCAGTGCAATGTACTCTGTTCCAGTTTCAGTACATTCAGGGAAGCAATTTAGAAAAAAAAATGGATCTTTGTAAACAACTATAAGAGACTAAAATGATACTTATTAGAGGCTTTTGGATCTCTGCTTGACAAAATTTGGAAGGTCTAGTTTTTGGGAGGTACTAACACCAGCTGCTAATTTAGGTTTTTGCATGGCTTTAAAGAAACATTTTGTCTTTTAATATAAAAGTTATAAAAACGTGTGCAAATGTGTGATTTTCTCCTTTGCTTCCAGAACCTCTTTAATGAAAAATATTAATAAAGCTAATATCAATTTAACCAAAGAAGGTGAATTGCATTGAATTTTATTTGGCTGCTGTTTTGTAATACCTTCTTTGATGAAAAGAGATTTTTACAAAGTTTCATACAATGACAGCATTTCATTCATGAATTTATGTAATGTGTGTATTTATGTATGAAGTGACTTTTCGTTTTGAACAGATCATGGTATCGAATTTCACCAAGGCTTGTTTTTAAAGGTGAGTTTAACATATGGGGCTTCCCAGGGGCTTTTCAATTTAGAGTGTTTACTTTTGTACAGCAACACGCTTGTTGCTATGTGTGGAACCCATCTTTTTCTCATTTCTTGCTTTGCTGTTCAATATGCTTAGAAAAAGTCAAGATTTTTCTTGTTTGCTCATTACTCAGGTTTGCCATGGTCTCAGTATGAGAACTCGGTGTTGCTGAGACAGTGTTTTCATGGAGGTGATTTGCCTGAGCCGTTTTGCTGACTTTACTCTCTGAGGCCTCTAGATTGAACCTCGGAAGTTAATTTGTGTGAAAGACTAAAAATGCTTTGTTATAGTTTGTGAATTTCTCAAACTATTAGGCACTGCAGAGATAGCAACTCTAGAGCAGTGAACTGGGAATTAAGCTTGTAAAGAGGGCTGGTTCTTGAACTCTTTATTACCATAAGTTCAGTATGAAATTCTGAAACATTGTTGAGATCTTTGGTGATACCTCTTAAGAGTGTCACAAACAGGTTATGCTGAGTTACTTACGGTGAGAATGAGATGCTGGTGTCTCATTTTCCCCAGGCGGCTCACGGAAGGAGATTACAGAACACTGGGAATGGCTGGAGCAGAATCTGCTGCAGACGCTGTCTATTTTTGAGAACGAGAATGACATCACTACTTTTGTTAAAGGCAAAATTCAGGTAGGTGCTAATGATTTGCTCTCATTGCATGCTGTCTCCTCAGTAGCGAAATCTTGTACACATGAAGGGATAACCTGTATGTGGTAGTTATGTAAAGACTAAAATCTTGTAAAGATTGCCAGACTTGATATTTGCCTCCGTTTGTCAATATTCTTGTGAACATTTTATTAGTCAGAGCAGATTAGTATAAAAAGAAACATGCCCACCTAATATTTATGTTTTAAAGTGTCTATCAAGATAGAATTGCATAGAATATTAAATTATCGTACTTCTGTACTTCTTATGGGAGATATTAATAAATGCCATGTTACATTTATTAGTGTGTTGCCAGAGTGTATAGATTTTGTCACTTGTTTTTAGGGCATCATAGCCGAGTACAATAAGAACCATGACATCAGGGAGGATGATGACACTGAGAAGTTTAAGGAAGCTACGGCCAAATTCCGGAAGCTCTTCGGGATGCCCGAAGAGGAGAAGCTAGTGAACTATTACTCCTGTAGCTACTGGAAAGGCAAAGTGCCCCGCCAGGGGTGGGTCTACCTCAGCATCAACCACCTCTGCTTCTATTCCTTTCTGCTGGGCAAGGAAGGTAAACTCCCCGGCTGACTGATGCACAGCCTCTAACAGCCACTCTGAGGAAACTACAAAGACGTACAGTACATCATATGGTCAGAAGTTATTCTGGTGATGGTAGAGGAATTGTTGTTCCATTTAATCAAATACTGTGCTGTCATATCTCAGTATCTGAACCTAATTCGTTCCTGAAAATCTATTCCGGAGGCAGGAGATTGTAAATCGAAAATAAAAATTCCATTACTTCTTATGGGGAAAATTCTACCCCTTTCCTAACCGAAGACAAGTTCACTCAAAACCACTCTAAACATATAATACCACATAGACCATTATAGCAAGCTAAGTGAACAATGCAGTTCTACTCAAATAAGCCAACTATAGCCATAAAATAATTAATAATAATAATTGCTTACACTTATATAGCGCTTTTCTGGACACTCCACTCAAAGCGCTTTACAGGTAATGGGGATCCCCTCCACCACCACCAGCACCCACCTGGATGATGCGACGGCAGCCATAGTGTGCCAGAACGCTCACCACACATCAGCAATCAGTGGGGAGGAGAGCAGAGTAATTAAGCTAATTTATAGAGGGGGATTGTTAGGATGCCATGATTGATAAAGGCCGATGGGAAATTTGGCCAGGATGCCGAGGTTACACCCCTACTCTTTTCGAGAAACACCCTGGGATTTTTTTTTTTAATGACCACAGAGAGTCAGGACCTCGGTTTTACGTCTCATCCGAAGGACGGCGCCTGTTTACATTATAGTGTCCCCGTCACTACACTGGGGCATTAGGACCCACATGAGCCGCAGGGTGAGCGCCCACTGCTGGCCCACTAACGCCTCTTCCAGCAGCAACCTTAGTTTTTCCCAGGAGGTCTCCCATCCAGGTACTGACCAGGCTCACACCTGCTTAGCTTCAGTGGGTTGCCAGTTGTGAGTTACAGGGTGATATGGCTGCTGGCAATATCACCAGCATGATATAGTATTAACATTTTTCATTCTTCTGTAATAGTTCTCTATTCAAGCGATCGGCTAGAATGATGTGCATACTGTTGTCGATTATTACACTAAAAAATCTTTTTCTCTTCCTTAGTGCCCATAATTAACAGCAACTACAAAACAAACACAAAAAAAACACTTAAAAAATGAGCACACAAGCTTTCGCTGTGTGGTAAACAAAGGACTGCTGCCTCACAGCCTCCTTAACCATAATGCCTGTCGCCAGTGCAGAAACAAGCATCTGTTTGGTATCGCCTAATTCAAATGTTCCAGAAGGTTCTCATCCAAAATCGGCCTCTTTCGAACCTCAAAGTTTGGATTAGTGAAATTTCGTTCTTATAACAAATTACAAGGTACAAATTCTTTATGTTCAGATGAGCGAAAATTTGTATATCGAACGTTCTTATACAAGGGTATGAGTGTATTTATGAAGTTATGTTTAATACTAGCTGTCTTTTGTAAATGTTGAGTACATCTACTTTCATAAAAAGGCATTTCTCCTGTGTGGGAACTAAGTAATAATTTATATGTTGTAATATAGTTTAAAAGATTAATTGGGGGACTAAACTATCCCCCTATGTTGTTAGTGACTCTTTTCTGAACCACAGAATGTCTATTTGATGAAATACGTTTGAGATAAAAAGAGTCTTTAATTATTTTTTGTGAAATTGGAAAATCTTTCTCTGTTTATGGGCTTATTGAATTGTGCTTCAGTACAGTGGCAGCTTCTCACTGTAGCTTAGTAACGTGATTTCCTGAGAGACCCAAATTAACACAGAAAAAAATGTCACATGAAAATACCATATGGCATCTGCAGAAGAAGGTGACTTAATAAAGAAAAAATAATAGAAGAAGCTGTCTAAACAAATGCGAAGACCATTTTTGTAGGGAAAGGAAGAAGAATTGTATTCTTTCTCATCTTTTTACCATTTTATTAAAATATACAGTAGAGCTTCTTACTATGAGAAGTTGTGTCTGTTAGTGTCCTTAAAATTCTGTTATTTTTCTTTCTTTAGCAAAATTAGTGATCCGTTGGGCAGATATCACTCAGCTAGAGAAAAACCCCACCTTACTGTTGCCAGACATCATAAAAGTGAGCACCAGGTCCAACGAGCACATCTTCTCTGTCTTCCTCAATATCAATGAGACCTTCAAGCTGATGGAACAGCTGGCCAACATAGCTATGAGGCAGCTTCTAGACAACAAGGGCTTTGAACAAGACAGGTCTCTGCCAAAACTAAAGAAGAAATCCCCCAAGAAAGTGTCAGCCCTTAAAAGGTGAGTCCCCATGCAACATGGCCATACAGCGTTCACATTTTCATTTAACATCCCATTTTCTCTTAAGAGATTTAAGGGGCTCAATATCAGTACAAGAGTTTTTCAACATGCAGGATGACCACTATAGTCCCTACATCGCCATCACTTGTGAAGTGTTAAATAACATCAAATATATTCGTGTTAGGTTATGTACAGTATATGGAACTTAACAGCTTCCTTTAACTAGTTATTTTGTTTCTGTGACTGACATTGTAATCCTTGCATGTGTTGTTCACAATGGTACAACATTATCTGCTACAGCTCTCTGTAGTAGCTTATGTCCATCTGCTTATATATTTGTAATGTACTTATTCTAGTAATAAACCCCAATAAAAGAACTTTACAATCTACGCAATGGCGCATTGCCTGGCAAAGCTGGGTTCAATTCCTGGGGTGCTGTCTACATGGAGTTTGTATTTTCTCCCCATGGGTTTACTCCCACAGTCCAAGCAGATACAGGTACAGTAGGTTAATTGGCTTTTGGGAAAACTGGCCCTGTTGTGACTGTGTGCGTGTTTGTGTCTGTGTGTGACCTGGTATGGAGTAGCGTCCTATCCAGGGTGTATCCTGCCTTCCACCCATTGTAGGACAGGCTCCAGCTCCCCCACAACTCGGTATTGGACAAAGCAGTTAGAAAATGGATGGGTGGATGGATTACCCTTGGGGGTGGATTGTTGCATCAGGATGGAGGACATAAGATTTTAAGTCCTCATGTTGTTTCCTGCAGGGATCTGGATGCAAGAGCCAAGAGCGAGCGCTACAGGGCCTTATTCCGGCTGCCCAAAGATGAGAAACTAGATGGACACACAGACTGCACCCTTTGGACCCCCTTCAACAAAATGCACATTGTGGGCCAGATGTTTGTTTCCACTAATTACATCTGCTTCACCAGTAAAGAAGAGACACTGTGCAGCCTCATTATTCCACTCAGAGAGGTGAGCAGGCTTGGGGCCTTCCATGAGCATGGAACCCAAAGAGTTAAAAGATAAACACTTTTGACTCAGAGCAATATCTTTTTCACAGCAATATTGTTTTATCAGGCCTAAATAGGAACGTGGCACGGTAAGGGTAGAAACCTTTTCATTTGACATTTGTGTAGTTGCCCCATCAAAGTTCATTTAAAAAAAAATTCTTTGAGTAGGCGGTTGCTATACAATCTGCCACCCGAGGCTTTGCAGCAGTAATGACTGGTAATGTCTTTGGTTTCTTTTCTGTAATTGCATTTCAGTAGGCTCTGTGAGCACTGTAAAGACATTTTTTAGACCAAACCTTCATTAAATGTCAGTAGCGTCTCTCCTAGGAATACCACACAAGCTACATGGAGGAAAAGAAAAAAAAAGAACAGAAATTCACGTTACTGGGTACGATCAGAACACAAATGAGCAAAGAAATGTATATTTAACTCCCATATTAAAATATGTTAATGGAACATTTCTAATATATATATATGTAATATATATATGTAAAAAAAATGCAGCATAAACTCCAGTCTTTGTTGTACCAGCACTTATACAACAGTGAGTCAATTCAAGGGGGCTAACAGAATGCTTGCATAAAAAAAGAAAATGGTGAATTTAAAGCAAGGGAAGTTGTGCATTGGTCCAACTTCTACTCAATCATTATGTCCAATTATGGCCAAAGTGTTAGAATATGATATTAAACGATCCTCATGTTCAGCACAGAGACCAGCACCAGAAAGCGTGAGTGAAAATTAAGAGAATATAAGGAGTAAAAAAAGGAAGCATGTCTGTACACAAAGGATTGTTACTGTGTGGAGTAAATGACAAAATCATGGTATTGATGTCAAGTTACTTTGGAGCTACTTTGGAATTTGAAGGGGTTTTGATGGAGTTCTTAACAATATTAATCTACGTAGAAATGTATCCTCTTAGCAATTATGTTCTTTTGATAATATGTTGTTACCTGGATTAATTGTAAACTCAAGTGTCCAGTTAGGAAAATTTGAAGACTGAGAAAGAGCAGCAGCTGATTAAATATGTCCAGGTGGAAGCTGCCTGATGTTTATCTGCTTTAGTGACGGTTGCTGTTGCTAAGGAACACAGTCTTCCATGCATGCTGGCATTAGATAGCTTGTTGGATATATATTCATACTCAGGATTCACTCTCTATGTGTGATGCAGATAATATTCAGATGTATAAAAGTATTCAGTATCATAAAAGTGTGTACACTGTACTTCTGTCATCATATTTTCAAAGTTGATTGTCTTTTCCATTATGGTGTCAATGATAAATTCTTAATATTTGTTTAAAAAATAGCATGGCTTGAATATCACTTTCTCTGTAAGAAATGACTAATAGTTAATAGGTGAGCAGATTGCTTCTAAGTAGTTTCCTTTATTGCACTATTAAGACTATATATAAAGACTTTAATTTAGATGTTTTTTCTCTGATTGTGTCTGGATTCCCTAAAAAACAACAAAATAACCTTGGAAACGAGTAATTAATAAATGCATTGTTTACAAAGCTCTGGTAACTTGGTATCCTTAATTAGAAGCTGAAAGATTTAAATTAAATTAGAGTTTGCATTTTCATCTGCCTTCTCAACTTTTTTGAAGTTTTTAGAATCGGCGTTAGTATGAAAAGCACATTTATTTTTTGTGTTTAATAACATCACGACTCTTTGTCCTCTTACCAGGTGACAATTGTGGAGAAGGCAGACAGCTCAAGTGTCCTGCCAAGTCCTTTGTCCATCAGCACCAAAAATAGGATGACTTTTCTCTTTGCCAACCTCAAAGACAGAGACTTTCTTGTGCAGAGGATTTCCGACTTCCTGCAACAGACCACATCCAAGATCTACTTTGACAGAGAGATCATGGGAAGTTACAACAGTTCGGATGATGAGGTAGTCTCACTTATTGACCACTTCACTTTCTGAGTTCCCCTAGCCCAGAAACATTATTAATGCAATCTTCAATCCAAGTGATCTGCAGTTCCATTCATAACTTTAACCTCATCATAAAAAGGGGACTCAAAGTGCTTCAGCCTTCGTTGAAGTGCCTCACCCTATCTGGGTGAGACACTGCAGATATTATGTGCCAGATACCCCACGACACTACAGTACTCACAGAGAGCTCAGTTGTTGTTTCAACAACTGAATTAATGGGGAACTTCAGCAAACCAGCAATCCAGCTGGTCAACATCTTAGCACATTCATTGGTTTGGAAATTCAGGACCAGAGGGAGCAGTGCCCACCAACTGGTCCACAAACCTCACTTTCAACAACAATCTGGTATTCCTCTGTGTTCTCATATCCCAGTACTGACCAGGCTTACCCTTGCTTAGCTTATGAGATCAGGGTATAATGTGATCATGCTGTTACCCAATTACTGTTGTTTTACAGAAAAGTTGATGAATATTTCCTCTATCGCAGAAGAAATGGAAAAGATGTGCAATTTTAATTTGAATGCTTTCTTAAGGAAGAATCTCTTAACTTAATCTTTGTTAATTCGATAATGCTATTTTAACCTAAAGATGAATTGTTACAGAGATGTCATATTTTCCTTTTTGAAGTCAAGGTTTTTAAGTTGGATACTCTTTCAAGTAGTAGTAGTGCAACGGGCTTATACAGGAACAGGAAGAGAAAATAATATATTTTGTCAAATTTTTTTTGCTCTTCGAGGCTTAGCCTAGGCTGATGTGAAAGCTTGTTTTAATGAGTTAAGGTTTAGAATGACCGTTAAGCCCTAGCATTTCCCCTCATTTCATGCCTCTTGCAGCTTTAGTACTTTAGTCCACAAAGCAGCAAGCAGGCACAATGTCAGTCCTGTTGTATCAGCGAACAGGCCCAGTGACAGTCCTGTTGATTCAGTGAGCAGGCCCGGTCACAGTCCTATTGTATCAGTGAGCAGGCCCAGTGACAGCCCTGTTGTATTGGCGAGCAGGCCCAGAGACAGCCCTGTTGTTTCAGGAAGCAGACCCAATGACAGTCCTGTTGTATCGGTGAGCAGGCCCAGTGACAGCCTTGTTGTATCACTAAGTAGGCCCAATGACACCCCTGTTGTATCGGTGAGCAGGTCCAGTGACAGCCCTGTTGTATCAGTGAGCAGGCCCAGTGACAGCCCTGTTGTATCAGTGAGTAGGCCCAGTGACAGTCCTGTTGTATCACTAAGTAGGCCCAATGACAGTCATGTTGTATCAGCGAGCAGGCCAAGTGACAGCCCTGTTGTATCAGTGAGTAGGCCCAGTCACAGCCCTGTTGTATCAGCGAGTAGGCCCAGTGACAGCCCTGTTGTATCACTAAGTAGGCCCAATGACAGTCATGTTGTATCAGCGAGCAGGCCCAGTGACAGCCCTGTTGTATCAGTGAGCAGGCCCAGTGACAGCCCTGTTGTATCAGCGAGCAGGCCCAGTGACAGCCCTGTTGTATCAGCGAGTAGGCCCAGTCACAGCCCTGTTGTGTTCCAGGTGTACTCAAGGCAGAGCAGTCTGCTGTCCTGCAGCCCTCAGAGGAGTCTGGGTTCGGAGATAGAGGGAGAGCGCCAGTTCAATCTCAATGATAACAGTGTCCCAACTGCTACCCAGGCCCTTATGACAATGTACCGCCGAAGATCACCAGAAGAATTTAACCCCAAACTGGTAATCTTAATAAGCAAATTCTATCTTTAACAGTTTATTTAGAAAAACAGATTAATTATACAGTGTATTGTTTTCAACATTGTTTTTACAAACAAGTATATTGTAAATATTATTTCATTTAATTTTTGTTTGTCCCTTATTTTTGTTTTTTTATATTTATATTTATTTAGTAGAATTTTGTTTTTCCATTCCAATATCTCATTCATCAAAATCGTTTCTGTTGTCATAAAATGGTAAAAGTGTAAAAATCACTGGAAGATTGTTTCTGTTTGTTCTCTGCAAAATTGGGAATATTTCCATTATTGCCTCATTGTGACACTTCATAAACTGAAGATAACATTTAATGATGTTGCTGATGTGTTTTACAACATCAATTCTCATTGAAACTTAACTTTTATGTTTAGGAAATAATACTGCTCCAAGGTCTGTTTTGGTGGAAATTTGTAATCTATAACATACAGTAGATACAGTATGGGTAATCAAACCTTTATGTGAAAATTTTCCCTCTTTAGTGCTTTTCAGTTTTCAATACATTGACCACTAAAATGCTTCAGAAATGCAAATACTCAGTTTACAGAATGTGTTTGTGAATCAGCCAAGCTGTTTTTCCAGAATGAAGGTGTGAACTTTCAGAAAACATATCGCAATTTCTAATTTAAATATGTTAGAACAAATGTTAGAACAAATTAAATGGCGTATAAACAGAAGGGAGAATTTCCTTGCTTTTGGACATTGATTTGAATGTAAAATTAATGTTATAACATAAGGTTATATTTTAATGTATATTTAAATATTGTCATGGGGGAATGAAATGTTTCACAACAATCAAAGTGAAACATCCTGAAATCTATTTTTTCTTTTAAATGGTTCTGTTTTAGAATCTATAAATGTACAGTAGCTTCTAAAAGTAAGAAAACAGCATCATTTTCTTATCTGTTGCTTCACATTGAAGCACACAAAACTGGTCATTGTTTTAGCTGCTCCAGCTGATCCTGCCCCACATTACTGGCACATCACTGCAGACTCAACTGACAGTTGTTCCAGATTTTTCTGTCCATAGAGATTGCTGAGAACATTTGTCATTTTAAATGATAGCTGAGTGGGCAAGTGCTGTAACTTTAATTAAAGAAGTGCAGGTTCCCACCTGACTGTTCAACAGCTCATTGTTGTTGGTCTCCTCTTTCTCGTAACATTACTCATGGTCATACAGTATGTTGTCTTAGCAATCTCCTGCCATATACAGTACCACTTCAATAGGCCTTCTGACCAAAGGCCAAGCTGTGCTTTATATATTACCTGTAAAAAGTAGCAAAATATATTTTTTGGAATGAGATCATAACACACTGGAAGCATTTTTCATTATCAGCCAACATACAGTATAACTCTACATTATAGTATTATGCTGTATGAACATAATTCTATGTTCTATGAATATAGTATATACATGTTTTGATGGCAATAAAAGTCAGAAGACCATTTGATGTATTACTGGTGAAATTCCTGAAGAAATGACAAATATCCCTTGTTACCATTTTGAAATAAAGCTACTTGCTAACCTCTAAGTACATCTAATGTCTTACAATAAATAGTGAATACATATAAATGTCTGATATTAAATTTAATCAGCATGTGGAAATTGAAATTAATTTACTTCAAATTTTAACAACAGTCTTTTGGCATTTCTTCAAATCAAAATTGCATGTTATTATTGATACACAGACAACACAGGATGTGTTCTTTATCTGAGAGTTAAACATGCCTAGCTGTAAAAGCTGTTCGGGTGGTTGAACTCATTAGAATAAATTGCATATCTTCTAGTGCTGCCACTGTTCACAGTGTGGTTCCCTTGTAATTGTGGTTTAACAACTAAGATCAATTCTAGTAAGTCCTTTCTCCAGAAGAATTGTGCTCTAAGTATTGACCATGTGGTAGCAGTGTAAGTATACATCTTAGTAAGAAATATTCAGACATTTTAATGAAATCAAATTCTAATTCCCAATATTACATGAAAGTACTGAAGTTTCGTTTTCCTTTCTGGCATAAAAGTGTGTTTCCAGTAGGGATCCACAGATTAGGATGCACAATTGCACTCATCAGTCTTTCTGAATCTCCTGTCACAGGCGAAAGAGTTCCTGAAGGAGCAGGCCTGGAAGAATCACTTTACAGAGTATGGTCAAGGAGTGTGCATGTATCGCACGGAGAAGACCAAGGACCTGGTCCTGAAAGGCATACCGGAGAACATGAGGGGCGAGCTCTGGCTGCTGTTCTCTGGTGAGTGGGACCGAGGTGGGGTTTCTCTGGTACAGGTAAAGAACAGTCTGGGGTATAATATCCTGATTGGGGTTGTAGAAACCAAGAAATTCGAGCCTGAAGTGTTCGTTCGTCCAGCCAAGCTTTATTGTATGCATACAAGGAACCACAATAAGCACGATGTAACCAAAGGAAATAGAAACCTTCCTTTGTCATCAGGAGTTTAATGTAAACATTTACCATTTGGGTGAACATTCACCATTTGGGGGTAAGTACAGGGGGAGAAAGCCTCTGTGATCAAGCAGGCGTGATGGTTACAGAGCCTCTGTGATCAAGCAGGCGTGATGGTTACAGAGCCTCTGTGATCAAGCAGGCGTGATGGTTACAGTTCAGCATGTAAAAGCCGTTAGCAGGCTCCATCAGGGTCACATTTTGGGGAACACAGAAAACTTGTGTGTGCACAAGTCTGTTGAAGTTTGCTAAAGAGAAGTTGAGTGATTTCAGTTTGCTCCTAGTGCATAGTATTTCATGGAAATATGTGGCAACTTTCAAAACCAAAGACAAGATCTGAAAAACCAAATTCAATTAAATTCACACACCATCCCAAAAGCTCCACATATTACAAGCCCAGCCTTTTCCTTTCAAGTGGAGATGTGGGAGCATTTACAGTAATTGTAGCTTTGCATGGAGCTATTTTCCTTGTGTTATGTGGCTCATGGTAAACTTTCAGAGCACAGAGGCTATTAAGGAAAAATAATAAGCACTGAATAGTCAGTTATGCAGTGTTGAACATTCTTAAACACAATAAAGTGGCATACTTTCCAAACGAAAGAGTTATATCATTAGTAGTGTGCTTTTTGTACCACAAATTGTAGTCATGATTTTAGGATGTTTTGGGCAGCAGTCCTTTTGCTGGTTAGAAAAAAATGTAGCCATAGTATACTTGTTGTTTAAAACTCAACAAAAACATTAAAAGTATATCAATTTTCCTTTTGTTATACAGAGGGTTATTCTGTGTATGTGGAGTCCCTTTTAAGTAATATAGGTTGCAGCAAAAATTCTGCCGTGCACCACTTGCACATAATAACCTTCAGAAATACTTTGGGGTATTTTTAGATCAGCCTGTAATACTAGCTGACCTTGAGTATATGGCTTGAAACTGTAGGGGGGAGAAAAAACTATTTTTCTCTGATTGCAGATTTGTACTGTTTGCTGTGCTATTAAGTTAGAAGCATCAATAAAGCAGATTCAAAGATACATCCCTTATGTCTCATAGAACAATAGGCAACCAGACAAGCTGTTTTTCTCTCCTCTCATTTGGTAATCTTTATTATATTCTTTCTAATTGCCTCCTCTCATTTGTAAATCTTATGTGTTCAAAAAAGAATAGAAGCATAAAGACTTCACTTCCGATATTTACCTTCTTATTATCTTCTGTGTGTCAGATAGTACTGTCTGCTTAAGTGATAGTTGTATTTTTTTAAGTTGTCTGGATGCATAGTCTTATTATTAACCAGCTGTGCACAAATGACTCAAGTGACTTCTGTTTTTGGAAAATAACACAGTGAAAGGAAATAAAGCACTCTGTCCTGTGAGGCGCATCAAGGAAGAACAGCATGATTTCTCTAGCATGGAAGGAGCTGTCTTAATTCTACTTTAAGTAATTAATGGTTGTAGCTGTATGCAATGAAACAGCACAGTGGGGGAGAACGTCTAGGGAACAAAAAACTTGTATATGCACACCTCTTATAACGGGTGCATGTTTTTTATGTTTAATTTTTTCTGTTTCAGTATTCTTTTAGTTTTAGTTTTTTACTCGTCTCCTAAAATAAACGTAGTGCCAAAAAAACATCTCTGTGAAGTAGGTTGTGGTGGCGCCTCTCTCTGCAGGAGCTATCAATGAGATGGCTACTCACCCTGGTTATTATGAAGATCTGGTGGAGAAGTCAATGGGTAAATACAACCTGGCTACGGAGGAGATAGAGAGGGACCTCCACCGCTCCCTGCCTGAGCACCCTGCCTTCCAGAATGAGATGGGGATTGCAGCCCTGAGACGGGTGCTGACGGCTTATGCTTTCAGGAATCCCAACATTGGGTACTGCCAGGTAGATTGATATATCCCTTCCACGTTATTATTTAAATCATACAGTATGAGGCTAGACTATCACGCAAGCATAACTGATGCATTTGGGAGTGTTTAATAACAGACTAATTTCATTTTAATGTGAAATTAAAAGTGGGTGTTCTTTTTCACTGCTTAAAAAAGTTTATTGTTATGCTTTTTGCAACAGTATAACAGCAATATGCTGCCCAGCTGTTGCCCTGCTGATATTCCTTGGATTTTGCAGTGGCTATGTTGATTTAAATGCTGGTGCGCCTTGTTGTGGTCTCTGCTTCCTGCATAGTGATGGTCTGCCATGTTCTCACTGCTGTGTGCTGTGCTTCTTGCAGGCCATGAATATTGTCACCTCAGTTCTGCTACTCTACGCCAAGGAAGAGGAAGCCTTCTGGCTCCTGGTAGCTCTTTGTGAGAGAATGCTGCCAGACTACTACAACACAAGGGTTGTCGGTAAGTACTGTTTCCTCGATTTGATGCAATCAAAGCTTCTAAAGCCCCCTGGTGTACAGAAGTTTCAGGTCTGTGGTATTTTATGAGGGCAGTTCAGTGAGGTATAAAGCCTGCTTATTTTTTTAAGTTTACACAGCTGACAGAGTATTTTAATGTGTGAGCAAATGACACAGAAATTTTGCCTCGTCATATATTAGATAAGCCTCATATGTTAACGAAGACTCACACTGAATAGTACATTACAATAGCTTCCAAAGCATAAACTGGTCATTTATATGAGGCTTGAAAATTGTGTTAACCCATAAAATGGATGATCTGAGTGTTATCAGTTCTCAACCTCAGCACTTGTAGGTCTGTATTTCCACTTCAGGCTGACCTTGGTTTCTGCCTTTATGAAATCATTCTGATAGTATACATACTCATTTTTTACTTGGTAGCACAAAGAAAAGGTCCCTGCTCTAGACACTAGCGTTGTATCTCAAGTAAGTTTTTACCTGAGTTTCTCCAGTCCATCCTGCTGTGTAAGTGGCGGCCAGCAATGCTGAGAGAGAATACTCTGAGATGGACTGCCGCCCCGTCCGAGGGGGAATCTCATACCCTCTCATCCGCTTAATGCCACGGGAACCACGATAAGCTCTGGTCAGCTGAGCTGATGTGGCTTGGATCAGGATGGGAACTCTCTACATACTTAAATACTTATTTATTTCCAAAATGGGAGTGCCAGAAGACTGTACCTGTTTCCACAGCTGCAGATGAAGTATTCTGATGTATAACTCCAGATTGGATCAGGATGTCCAGTGTGGATTTCTCCGCCCTGGCTGTGTCGCTCATTGTGCATGTCCTTGTGCTCCCCAGGGGCGCTTGTTGACCAGGGGGTATTTGAAGAGCTAGCCCGGGAGTACGTGCCTCAGCTCTATGACTGCATGCAGGACCTAGGAGTGATTTCCACCATCTCGCTCTCCTGGTTTCTGACGCTCTTTCTCAGCGTCATGCCCTTTGAGAGTGCCGTAGTGGTGGTGGACTGCTTCTTCTACGAGGGCATCAAAGTGATCTTCCAGTTGGCTCTGGCTGTGCTGGATGCCAACATCGACAAACTGCTGAACTGCAAAGATGATGGAGAAGCCATGACTGTTCTGGGCAGGTGAGAGACAATTATAGTACAGTAAAATCGAAAACTGGGTTTTTCTTCCTGTTTTATTCTGTGCTGCAAAATGTGCAGATATAAGCACTTTTACTTCCTTTTACTTTACTACTTTTGGAGCTTCTTAGCCCATTTTTTTCTCATTCTTCATTATTATGTATAACCCTTATATACTATACAGTATATACTGTATATAAATCATATACTGAACACCACAAGAAACAATGCTCCAATTATGCATGTATGTTTTTTAAAAATAATACAGTATGCTGATTCTGGATATTGATTAGGTGTTTGGGCATTATCAGTCCTTGATGTTGATCATGGCCATTGTGATGTTCTGAGCTGGAGTGTCAAGCCACCACAGAACTCCACTTGTAGTTAATTGATGATGACCTGAATGCATGGCAATACATTCATCAAGTCCCGAGACCTCACTGTGACATCAGCATTTCAGCAGGATAATGCACATCCTTAACAAGGGCTTTTTAATAGGAATGTGATCTTTATGCCATGTGTGGGCTCCATTGAACATTTGTGGAATGACCTGGGATGACGTGTGACAACTTTGGGCTGAAAGACCAGTGAACAATCATATGCTTGTCTCGGCTCTTTGAAAGTAACGAGACTGAATCCCACTACACAAGTTTCTGCAACCTGATGTTATATAGCTATGTTGCAGATATATAGTACCGCTCATTTTCTAGTACAGCTCCAGCCATGGCCACACACTGTGACCCTGTAACACATACATTAAATAGGTTGCTGATCAACACTGTTGATAATGAATATTAATTGGCATAATGCAATTCTATTCAATAAAGTGTTGACGCAGCAGCTACAAAAAGGTATAATCTTAAAATGATAACTGTGTGCACTTTTTACTGTCGTTAGTGATACAGTAGGTGTCTTCTGATGCTCAGTGTATTGTTATCATCCTGTATTCAGAGGCTATCTAGTTTTGCCAAAATTGTGTGTCCATCTTATTTAGTTTGCGGTAAAACCGAATGGAGTTAGTTTGCAGTTTCCAATAGGCAGTGTGGCAATCTGAATGTGGCTGTGTGAATATCCACTGTTCAGTGACAAGGGAATTATCCTCCTATATACTGTGCCATTAGAAGAGCCAGTGGCTAGACCTTTATATCCTGTGTTGCAGGTACCTGGACAGTGTGAGTAACAAGGACAGCACCCTCCCCCCAATCCCCCATTTGCACTCTCTCCTCACTGACGATGGGGAGCCCCACCCTGAGGTGGACATTTTCAAGCTGGTCAGGAGCTCATATGAGGTGAGGGCCATCAACACTGGTATTTCATCCACCTCGTAATTAGACTGAGTGGTCTGAAGGTGTATCTTATTTAGTGTACTTACAGTACATAGTAATAACATTTAGTGTACTTACATTTAGTATCTTACATAGTGTCAACTGAAGATCATCTGATGGTGAGTCTGACTCCTGTTTTTCTTGAATGCTTCATAGAATTTGTTGTTTCTAGCTAAGAACCCAAAGCTTTGCAAGGCAAAAGTAGCTTTTGTGCAGATGCTGATATATGTTGAAAGGTTTCTGTCATGTGTTTTGTTTCTGTTTGTTTTCTGTTTCAATATCTTCCTGTTCCTCTACATTACTGTATATCTGAGCAAACAGTACACACTTACAATTTAAATATAAAGGCACTTTTTTATCATTTGTAAAGCTTATAAAAAAGTGTTACATGAACATAATGTTATGAATCTTTTTTTGCATTATTAGAGGGGAAGGAACCTGACAGTTGAGTCATTAGTATACATTTAGTACAATGCTGGAAGAGATACATGCTCATTTGCAGTTTCGCTTTTTACCTAGTTTTCATTTTGCTTAATTAGTTTTAACCTGGCAAAAACTTCCCTATTAAAACACAGTTGTGTGAAAACAATAAAACTGAAGGTGTTACATATATACTGCAATATATACTGCAGTGTTCTGTGAACGGACACATCTTTTGTCTAATGAAGAGTTCAGCCTGGTATAGTGTTTCTCATTCTTTCCAGTGTTCCTAAAGCAGTTTTGTTTATCTTCTTTCATAAAATAGGAAGCTGAGCTGTCATCTCTACTTGAATTAGATGGCTAATCACCATTTTTCAAGTGTTCTGTAATTTAGTTCAGTACTTTATGATCTGCCATCATAAAATGCATTTTATTGCATTAATTACAGTAATTATCTGAAGGACTAGTTAAATAATGTTTTTTACAACTTTCTTTACATTTCCATTCATCCATCTGTTTTCTGTGTACATTTCCTGGGAAAGGTCATGGCTTATACATATTTGGTATGTTAGAAATATGAAGATATGTTGGTAATGTAGGTGGTATTTTACTGTAATCAAATTTCTGTTTTGCAAAGCTAAGATTCATTTTTTGCAATTTCCGTTATGTTACTAAAATAAAGAGGCACAAAGAGGAACTTCAACCTTGCTTTGCCCCTTTTGTAAATACCTACCCATTGCTTGAAAAGTACATACTGTACATAGCACACTACACATCATGCGATACTTTTCTCTTCCCGTTGACATACTGTACAGTTCATGTCAGCTGAAAATTTTCTTTCGCTTACTGAAATCTATCTTAACTTTGATATCTGTGTTTTTATTATGCAGTTTTAGTGCATCTGTGCCCCTAGAAACCCTATAATTAAATATAAAAAGAGTCATGACCAGAGTAGTGTGAATGTCAGAAATAAGGCATCTAACACTGCACAGCTGTTTTATACAATCAGACATAAAGCAAGTGTTTTCCTGTTTGTGAATAGAAGCACTGTTAAATATCCAGATTAATAGATGCTGATGGCTCATTCTCACAGAGATTTCTTAAGACCACATGATTTTATCACTTGTTGTGAGTCACTAAATTATGTGATGTGCTTGTCTCCAAAGCATGGCTGTGTGAAAATGCATAACATTAAAAAATATTAATAGATATTGTTCATCAGCAGAAACAGTCTGTGTATCGACAAAATTGAAATATTAAATGCACTGCACATATCCTCTTAATTATCTAATTTTGTCCTCAGGTCTTGCTGTTCGTTAAACAATACAATAGGGTTGCAGCCTCAGGTTATACTGTGCATCCCCTGCATTTAATGGACACTCTAGCAAGTGGTGCCTGCTGTAAAGACAAGGATTAACTGATTAAAGACACAGAATGTGAAAAATTTTCTTAAAGCTCTCATGATGTCAGTAAAGGTGCTTTTGTAAACTGAAGTTGAATTTCTGTTTTCCTGTGCTATATTTTTATTAGTTTATCTTGACCACTGTCTTTTGCAGAAATTTGGGACCATCAGAGCAGATGTGATTGAACAGATGCGTTTCAAACAGAGGCTGAGAGTGATCCAGACCATTGAAGACACTACAAAACGCAATGTGGTAAAATCCAGTTTTTATTGTGAAGTCTTGTAGGAATTTAGAAAAACTATGCATGTTTAAATACAGTAGCTTGTATAGGAGAATCTCGGGACCCTTTTCCTCTTATAGTTTATTTTAGTTTTATTCATGGCTTTGTGTGAAGCTTTAATTAATATCAGAGTCATAATGCATTTTGGTATTAATGGAGTTTTTTTTACAGGTCCGAACTATTGTGACTGAAACGGCATTCAGCATTGATGAGCTTGAAGAGCTCTATGTTTTGTTTAAGGTAAAACCTGAGAATTGCCCACACTTTTTACACTACCCACTCAAGAATCCTTAGTGTTTGGTGGCGAACACTAACACAAGTTCTGCACTGTTGTGCCAAAATATGAATGTTTGCTGTCGACTGCAGTGTTGAGTTGTAGTCTAGTTGTCAGTAAGCTAAATAAATAATGTGCAGCTGTATAGTCCCCATTATTTTAACAAAGGAAAACAAAACTGCGTCAAGAGTAAACTAGCTTTTTAAAAAAATATATTGCAGTGACACCCCCCAGTAAAACCACGTGTTTAGGAATGTTAATGGAGAAGTCAGGCATAAAATGCTTTGGCTTAACATGCTTGTCTGAGGGTCAGCTCACTAGCTGTAGGATGAGGAAGTCAACAGCCCCGCACAGAGAGAGAAGAAGAGCAGCACCAGGCTGCTGTAAAGGAGGAACTGTAGAGGAGGATAGAAGCAAGATGAAGAATGTCAGCAAGAAAGAGACTGGCTAGGGTACTTATGATTATGATTTAGTGATTTAGTGTAGTGGAAGTGAAGAAGAACTGATGTCTTAACTCGCAAACTATAGTTGAAATCTCCATTGATTTCAGTTGTGCTTTCTAAGGCATTTGTGAGTGTACATATGCTGTATAACAATTCTCTTAAATCAATTGAGAGAATGAGATTAGCTTTAAGTGCTTTAAAAGAGCAACACACTATGCACTGAGTGGATGTGTTCCAGATGGTGTTTGATGTCAAGTGAGCTATTCCTGAAATGATGCCCCTGCGTAGCATGAGATTTTCAAAAATACACTCTCAGCTTTCTCATAGATGAAAGTCAGAAGCTTTGGAAAAAATGCAAGTGAAAAAAGTGTTAATTCTGATGCTGAGAAGATATGGGGAATATTGCTTGGGTGTGTTGCTTTGCTTTTGTAGTAGAGATCATGGTGATACATTGTGGACAAGAAAGTGTCTGGCTGATTATGTACTACTGTATATTTACATTTTTCTACACTTACTATTTTGTTGAGGGGTTGTTGAAGATATCCTGCATTGCAAACATTCTAGAGGGCTGCACATTTACCTTAAAGCTAGTTTAGAGTGACCTCAGATCACCTTTATGTGTGTGTGATACAGGGCTGACGTGCATTTTTGTTTCTTTATGTATACTGACAGTCATCAGCAAATTGAATGTTTCACCCACATTAAAAATTGTTTAAACATGTTATATAGACCTTTATGTATTGTGTTAATGAAGGTGCTAAAAAAGATTTTATTGATTTATATTTTATTGTCTGGAATAATCATAGAGCAGTGATTGTTTTAATTTCAGATTAAATTAGTCAATATCCAAAGTTTTAAGGGTAAGAATATTGAGTATCGTTATTCACTCCTGCACAATCATGTACACTGTTACTATAGAAACTAGTTGTCTTTGTACACCCTCATGCTCCCTGCTGATTAAGACTGCTATGGTTACAGTCTAGTTCTTCTAAAGACAACATTATATTGGTATTGTTATTTGCCTGCTGCAGGCAGAACATCTGACAAGCTGCTATTGGGGTGGAAACAGCAATCCCACTGACAGGCATGACCCCAGCCTGCCCTACCTGGAGCAGTATCGCATTGACTTTGAGCAGTTCAAGGGCCTCTTTGGGCTTCTCTTTCCGTGGGCCTGCGGGGCTCATTCTGATTCACTGGCCATGCGCTTCTTCAGGCTGCTGGACCAGAACGGGGACTCCTTCATCAACTTCAGAGAATTCGTCACTGGCTTGAGTAGGTCCAACTCCCTCTGCCTTTGAGCGGCTAGTGTAACAAATATGCAAATATTTTAACAAGACAGGGTGTATTTAAGATAGCCTTAGTTTTGTTAGTTTTGTTAGTGGTGTGTTCCCAGTAACATGGATAGAGTCTGGAATGCTATTGAATTCAGGGTTAATGAACTTTGAACCTTGCTCATAAAGTACCTATGTTCATCAGTGGTTGCCAGGCAACCCCTGAACCAGGTGACCAGGAAAAAAAAAGACAGGCTACCTGATGTTATATGCACTCTTCCCACTGTCTTGCACATTTTAAATCAGAATTGATTTAGAACATTGTCTTAGCTACATTAATTTTATAATTATAGGTATCCTTATAATTGCTATCTTGATTTTTAAATGCAGCAGTAAGTTGTTTGAGTACACATTAGTGCACCTTGCAATTTTGTACACTTAATCTGTAAAGAGGTATTTTTTTTCTGGATTTCGCAATGTCCACAGAAACTGATTTGTTAAGTGCTTTTTTTTCTTTGTTTAATGTCGCTTTCTATTGTTGTGTTTTATAAAGTACAAAGTACTGTATATAGGTCATTGTGGTTTGCACTGTATCTGCCTACACCACCTAGGCCATTAAAAGAAAGACATTTTCATTTAGAGGTCACATATGCTGTCTCCTGCTTTTCTCCTGCTAAGTGGTGTAAAGAGATCTAGATATATGTGTGGTACAGTATGAGCCTGTGGATAAATCCACAAGATTTTTGTTTTTGTTTACTGATTTGACAGAATATGTAGACTGTAGACAAAGATGTAGACTGTAATAAAAATGTAATGGATTTATACTTACCCAGATATTTATATTTACCTAGATATTTTTGTTGTACTGTAGGTGTGCTTTGTCATGGGGATTTGACAGAAAAACTGAAGCTGCTTTATAAAATGCATGTGTTGCCTGGTAAGTAAATGTTCATGAATTATTTGATCTTCCTATACAGGATTAGGACTGTAACATTATTTTCTGTGTTTTACTTGTCTCTTTTCAAGTTAAATTATGTAACTGTCTTGAGATAATGGGAGGATGTGGAGAAAAAACATAACTTCCCTTTCATGATACACCTTCGTGTTAGCAGAACTAATGCAAATTAGAGAAACAAGTGAAATCACTTTAAAGTGTGATTTCCATTTGCTTTTTAGACATTTTTCTAAACTTAAATTTAAATAGAAAGAAAATTGATATATTCAGTAGAGTATGATGCTGTACTATTATGGTTTATGATTTATTGTGTTCTTTTAATGGACAATAAACTTTAATAAAGTTTGTATGTGTATTTATGTGCTAACATAAGCTAGTTCTTGTGTACATTATATGACTTTTAAATTTTAAATGCTATCTTGGGCTTAGTTTTGGATTAGTTTTAAAATAAAGCTGTCGTTTTGTTTTCTTGATGACAATATCCTAATGACTGCCGGAGAAGAGTGGTTGTGTCAGTCTTGAATATTCCCCCAGCAGAAACATATTTGATTTGTTATTGTTACAAGACACAGGGCAGAAAATAATCGAGCATTACACAAAGTGAGTTCTTTTACTCTCCTGCACAGCTCTGATGACAGAGTAACAATTAGGTCCAAACATACAAGGATATGCAAATATGTATTCAAATTTACAAAACTATGCTACAGTACCATTGATTACACTATAGACAATCTGTTAGACTGAAGTAATGTTCCAGGGTTTATATTTTAGATCCGTGTTCCCAATCTAGGGATTCACAGGACCCACACAACTGCTGGTTTTTGTTCTAGTCAAACCCTCGGTTACCACAAACCCTTCATGGACTTAAGATTAATTTGAACTGTTTATTCCCAGCTCTTAATCATGTTGGAGCCTTAACTGTTGTATTTTTTAAATAAAATCCTAAACTCGTGACTGTGTGCAAATATTCAAATGAAGCAATTTTGTTGGATCAAGTAAAGCTTCAATGATCTAATGAAGGTGGCATGGAATGAAAGCCAGCAGGTGTGTGGGTCACCAGGACCAGGATTGGGAACCACTGCTTTAGACATTCAGAATTCCAAAATAAAACATCTCAACAGGTCAAACAGAGAAAACCTGTACCCTAGGAAAAATGGATGCTACCTGGGACTAGAGCTGGGAGATAATTCGATAATGATACTTATCGCGATATAATTTTCCTCGATATAATTTTAACAAAAGTTCGATAAATGTTCGATATATATGTTTATGCTTTGCGC